TGGATTTGCATTTGGATTGTTATTCATATACTCCTCAAAACTCGTCTGGTTTTCCCTTGCCAATGTTAAATCTGTAACCTAAAGAAGGGAAAAGCACTTTAAGATATAAAATCTCTGGACAAGCATCAACAATATGGAAAGACAAGAAAAAACTTCAAATTCACAAATGATAATCTCTGGCACTGACCATTCTCTCCATCTTTGAAGTGAATTGGCCCCCACACTGCTGCTTCAGTTTTGTCAAAATACTTCTCTCATGGTCATCATTAGCACTCTTGTCAAAAAGAAGCCTCCGAGCAAGTTTTTTCCTATTAGAAAAAATGCAACCACAAGTGAGATCAAATTGTCATCACTAAAACAAATAGTTTCTATATTTAAAATAAGGCAAAAATCTACCTGTAGAATTCAGCAAACAAGTCCTTGTCACTGATATAAGCAAGCAGCTTTACTACCTAGAGATTGGAAACCATAAATCAGAGACATTTGAGAATAAAAACATGTCTAGATAGGTTAAATGAAACAAAATAACAGTGGCAGACCTTCTCAAGTGTTTCTTCAATTGCTTCATCACTTAGTTTTTCACTTCCTCCTTTCTTAAGAATATTATCACAAAAAGTGGCTAATAGCTCTGCACTTGAGCTCCCAGCAACACCCTTGTTGCAGAATACTTCAAAAGCCTCTTTGAGAGCCTAGAGAAAACAAAAAAATTAAAAAGATATGGTGGGTTAACAGTCTCCAAACCATGATCTATTACAAACCATGATATATTACAGACCTTATGAAAAAGAGTGTGATTCTGGAAACAATCATTCACGTAGGCCAGGTATTTGTCATGCAACTCAATGTCTTTTCTTACAAAACCCTAAAAACAACAAACGGAAATCAATCTCCAGCAGTTGGTACAATATCCAATCAAGCAATAACTAGAAATACAAGTGAAACTTTACCTGCTCCTGCATTCCAACCACATCTTTCTTATCAACCTGTTAAGAGGTAAGAAAGGAACATTTTGGTATGAGTAGGGATAAACTTAACTGACTACAACTATGATACATGAATTAAGTGTTACTTTTTTAATAAGTATTAAGTTACCTGCCTATAAATTTAAAACTGTTAAAAGTCAAACAAAGACTCTCTAGTAACCACTCTAGGCCAGCCACATCAATTTTAATGAATCATTGAGTACTTTCAGCAAGATGCATAACAAAATACCTTGCAGAGATCTTGACCACTAGGGCTCATAAATAAGTTGAAAATGAACCACCAAAATCTTATTGAATAAGCTAATTAAAGTAGAGACAACTATACAACAGACCTTTTTATTGCTTGCAGCATCCTCAGCCTGCTTAACCAATGCAGTACCTTCATTGGTAACATGCTGTGGAAAGGAAAATGAAAGAATGCCTTAGAGTGAATACAAAAGGAAAGCAAGAAAGAAATAGAGGGCAGACCAATGCAATGCAGAATGAATGTTTAAGGAAAAAAGAA